ATATATATGTATATCACGTGTATGACTTTTTTTTAATGATTGACAATGACAAATAAAATATGTGATTGCGCGAGCAACATCACCATTACCGACATCCTCTGCTTTTATTATGGTCACTCTCTTGCCGCCACCTACATTTATACTTTATTTATTTGACCCTTTTGTTTGCTTGCTTGTATATATCTATACCTATCTATACCTATACTCAGTCTCACTTGTTTCTTTTTGTTGTACAGTACAACCATCTAAGTACTTACTCTGCACTACACATTGTGCATTGTCTTTTTGCACGTATACATAAGTATACTTAAAAGTTCAATGCAGTGCACACACGCACTCACGTATTATATACCCGTAATTCATATACACAACCCAAGGCCTAGTTCCCAATGCTTTCAGTGCTCTCTCGTTTTCATTTAAAATGTTTGAAGCATCCAAAGAAGCTTTGTTCAGAGAAAAAAAAAAAAAAATAAAAAATAAAAGGTGAAACATTGTGAGACCCTGAAAAAAAGGGATGGACTGATGTAGGGTAAAATGTGCGAGAAAAAACAAAAAAACAACGAGTCTTGACTAAAGTGAAACAATCGCTATTAAATTTTTTATTGTTAGGAACATCAAAATAATATTCATTTTATCTTGATAACACATACCTTAAACCCACAAGTAACGGAATAACGGCGTGACGATGATTGTTGTTTCATCAATTGCTAGACATGGTTCATGCAGTTTCGTTTTTTTTTTGTTTTTTTCTTTTTAAATTATCTAGTGTTAATTGCATATACTTATTGTGCACTCGAAACTTGGAAGAGGAATGGGAAAAGGTGGAGTGTATCGGTCTACTGCCTCAATTCTGATCGGCTCTATTAGATTTTTTCATCCATTTAAAACTTTTTTTTAACTAGGCCACAGGCATCTTGTACACTTGTTACTTGAACGTTATTGAGGCAAGGGAGTACTTAACAGCTAATCAATTTGCGAAATGATTGGTCACCCATCCAAGTACCTATTATACTAAAGCTGCTCATTTCCGCTGGTCGACAAAGCTGTAACTTTGTTCCTTTCATCAGATATTATAATGTACAGTCAACCTTGAAGACGGTCAAACAAGCCAAATCCGTAATTTTTACTTTATTTATTTATTTATTTTTTTTTTGAGATGGCTGCAAAAAAGGTTTGTAATTTAATTTAGGAGGCTCTTTACAATGATACTTTTTCCTCTAAAGTTTTATTCTTTTTGGAAAGTTACGAGAATTTTACCAAACGTTGGGTGCCCTATAAAATCGTCATTCGCTGCCGACTCCCCGTTTCACGTTGTATTGTTTTTCATCAATTTCAACATTTTTTACACGTATTTATAGGTAGATGAATTTCTCTTAATCTTTTAAAAATTGATCAAGATAATTATTGTTTGAGCGCCTGTGAAAGTTAAAAATCGTAAACATAACAGCCCAATAACTAATTATATAATATACATGTAAAAAAAAGTGTCTACATGATGCAAGGTAAATAGTGAGGAGCGGCTAATTTTGTGAAATGGCATCCGGGTAAGAGATGAAAGTTGACGACAAACCTCGCACAGATTTGCACACACCGAACGAGCACAATATGATGCAATTGGAACCATCAACACCGTAAACAATAATTATCTAACGAATAATATTATTGCGATTACATTTAATTATTTATTTACTTTATTATTATTATAATGCTATTTATTTCTCAACTTAAATTTGATAGACGTGCTATTGAAGCAATTAAAGTTTATGATGAATATCGACTTGGTAC